TAACAAAAACCATAATATTTTTAAGCATAAAAAAAAAATTATGCATATAAAATCGTGTTAACAATTTAAAAAAAAACTAATTGGTATTTTAAAATACAAGCTGTTCAAATTCATTTCTACCCATTTTTAAATTTTTTAAAATTTTAAGGTAACATCAATTTGAATTAACAGCTATTAATTTAAGTTTAATTCAAAATCGACTAATATGTTACTAGCGACGCTGAACTATTTGATTAAGTAATTATTTTTCATTACTATATTTTTATTAGTATATTTTATTAAAATTATTAATTGCCTTATTAAGATTTTTGGCCTAAATGTTATTTTTGAAATGAATAGCAGAAGTTTTAATTTTAAAAAAATCCTATTATGTTACAAATTTTTTTTTTTTTAAATTCTGAAAATTTGTTATTTTTAAGTACTTTGGTCAGATATTGATCAATGTCAATACACATTTTTTTTTTCCATTGACCTAAGATAATGTTATGATATACATTCAAACTTTTTCCCAGGGATTTGGGTGACAGCCTTCATTTTAACACCAAAAATTAATAAAAGTTTACAAATTATTAATTTTAAATAAAATTGAATAAATAAGACTATTAAGTCCATAGAGTATTTTTGAATTCCTCAAGCAAAAATTGATCTAAGTTCTAAATTTCAGCAAAAATCTCCTAACCATTATCAAGATATTATTTCAAAGGTGCTTTATTGCTCTTAACCGTAAAAATGCTGAAAAATGAAACAATTCTGAGATGAATAGGTCACATTGTCTGGATGGTTTCATATGAAATGACACTTGAAGTTTAATTTAAAAATTTAAACAATGTAGAAATGTTTTTATATAAAGATGCTATGGAATCTTATTTTATTCCATTTTTTTTAAATATAAAATGTTTTTTTTTGGAACTATTATAATCTGCCTGGGAATAACAGGTCAGCATTGGTTAATTGAGACACAAAAGGTGATCTGTCTTTGCTTTACTTTGGCATATAATTGCTAACCTAAATTTTTAAAAGTTTCTCAATGCAAAAATAAATATATGTAAAAAATATATAATTGATTCAACATAAATTATTTTTATTTTAGCGCAATTATTATGTTATTAAGTTTTAAAATCTAATATTGACTTATTTTATTAGGTAAAACCATTCATTTACATGTTGACAGCTATTTTTATATTATTTAAGAGGTTTGGACCAGCAATGGTGTGTGATGATATTTTGTTATGACAGCATGTCCACTGCGTGTTAATTGTTTTGAGAACATTTAAATTTAAATTTCTTCCCATGTATGTCCCAATGAAAATAAAATTCAAGTACCTGCTTAATGAATCAACTTCCTATATTTAAATCTTTTATAATCAAATATTTTATATTACCAAATCACTTTTAAGTAAAGCAACAATTTACAATTAATAAGATAAAATTACATGTTGTATAAATTATATTTAAAGGGGTTATCTTTTTTGCAGATATTTTCCAGAATTCTGGATATTTTTCTTAACATTTAGTTTTTTCAGATATCCAAAATGTTTTCCATACTTTCAAGTTTAGGTATACATTTTTTTGATATATTCTTTTTTTAAGCTTTTTCACTCATCACTCATACAAAAATTAAAAATAGTTTAAAAAAAAAAAGAAACAACTCAGCTAAAAGCAAAATTAAGAGGAAAATAAGGGAAAATATATTCCAGACTTTTTCTGGATATTTTACCTAAACAATTTGATGGATTTTTAAAATATGGCCTGGATGATCTATATATTTAAGTTTATTTGTAAATATATGACATTTTTTTATTTAAAAAATATATTTTTTATTTTAAATGTAAATCCTTTCAAACAATTTGTATAATTGGTTTTATAAACAACATGACTTTAAACAACAGTTGTGTTTGCAACAAAGTTTTTTAATAATCATTCAAGTTAATAAAACTAATAACCAAATAAACAATAGAAATTACTAGCAACTGAATACCACACCAGAGGTTCAAACAGATCACAAACATACATATATACATAGTGACTTAGAAGTAAACCAGCATCAGAATTAAAATTAAAATATTCACTTGCTAAACATTATCAGTGGTATATTATACCACTGATAATGTTTATATATTATATTTATAAAGTTATTACTTTTATTATTATTAGTATATTATATTTTATAGAAATATTACAGTCTGAGTTCCAATGTTATTAATTTTAAACATTATCTTAAATGTCGTTTATTAAAATATTATACTACATTTATAGATTTTTAAGCTTTGTTTTGTTTTAGTTAAAGGGACTACCAAGTCCCGAAAAAAACGTCTGAGCAAATTTTTTTTGATTAAAACTAATTAATAAATGTATACCAAGAAAAACAAATCTTGTTGTTTTAGTTGAAGCTCGTCTTCTCCGTTTTTTGAGTATGTAAAATAAACGCAATTTTCCAGGCGCATTATACAGACTTGATAATTTATTCAAGCGCGTTTAATTCATAGGAGTTTTAGAGCATGACATCATTGGAAACATTCTAGAAATTCTATAAAAATTTTACTATTAAATTTTACTCAAATAGCTAACTATAGTTACTTATTTTATTAAAAGTTTATTTTATTAATTGTTCGTTAGTTTTTTACAAATCTAACGAGCAATTAATTAAACCAAGCACTAAGAAAAGATATAAAAATTAAGAATATACTAATAAAATATATAATTTGTAATTAACTTTCAAAATTTTGACAATTTAAAAAATATATATTATAAAACATTTATTTTTGTAAACAAATGATAATAGTTTTACGGCTTTACAGATGTGGCTCTGAGAATGAGCCATAATATAAAAGTAATAGTTCATTTGACAATATATTCTTAAAAAAATTTATGCTAGATATCTCAAAACGCAACAAATCGTAAATAATACAATTCCTAAAACATTTCAACAGAATACTCTAGAACTTTATTTCACATAGTCAGTGTGTTTTTTGAACCAATAGAATTAGTTTGTTCGCAAATTTGGCGGGTTTTTAGTGTTTGCAAATATTCTTTTTATTCTTCCGCAAGATGTTTTAAGAATATCCAAGTTAATTATGTTTCCATGTATGTCTGTAAAATAAAAATTAATGTATATTAATTTTTTAATTTTTAAGCCCCCGCTATAATATATATTGGATGTTATAATGGAAATATAAATAATGAAATAAGATCACCTCAATACCAAAAAATAACATTTTTGAAAATCAGAGAAAAAATGCGTTAATAATTTTTTTTTCAATATTTACTAAGTAAATTAATAAAAGTGCATTATTATTTAAGTTAAAAATTATTTTATCTAATATTTTGAATAAAAAACTTATAACAAAAGAAATCAAAATACATGTGGTCTAGACGATTATTTTAAAAAAGTTGCGCAAATAAAGTACTATTTTGTTTTTTATTTTATTTTTGTTTTTAATTTTATTCTGTTTTTAATTTTATTTTGTTTTTAATTTTGTTTTACAAACACATTTTAGAACTTTAAAATATAATAAAAATGAATATGATTTGGAAATTGTATGTAAAAAATAACAATCAGTGTTTTAAACAAACAAAAAAAAATCTATGATGTCATGCACTAAAACTCCTATGAATTAAACGCGCTTTAATAAATTATCAAGTCTGTATAATGCACCTGGAAAATCGCGTTTATTTTACATACTCAAAATACCAGAGAAAACAGAGAAGACAAGCTTCGACTAAAACAACAAGATTTGTTTTTCTTGGTATACATTTATTAATTAGTTTTGATCAAAAAAAATTTGCTCAGACGTTTTTTTTAATATTCTCTTTAATATGAACACAACATGTCTCAGGACTTGGTAGTCCCTTTAAGTTTTTTAAGTAAAGTTTTTTTGCATTTGTCTCTTGTCAGTTAAGTTAAGCTTTTATTGGACATTTTTGTTCTAAAAATGTTTAAAAAGTAGCGGTCAAGTTGTTGCAACAAATTATATAGATGGTCAAGAATGGCTTGTTGTCACATACATTGCCATCAAAGCCTGGTTTAAGATCAGTTTAATAAAAAAAGTTTAGTTATGACATTTGGAGAAGAAACATTCTTTAAAAAACATTAAATTTTTTTTAAAATTTAAAACAAATTATAGTTTTTTATTAAAGCAATTAAAAACAAAAAGTGCTACAAAGTTTCTAGACAATTCTAAACAAGTGGTAATATGCCTAATAAAAAAGTTATTAAAAAATGGGAGTTGAAATGTTTCTGCTTTCTAACAAATGGTTAATACTGTAATATTTTTTTAAACTTAGTCGTTAACTAAATTTACATTACTAAATCCTTTTCTTTCTATGATCAATCTAAAAAACCAATGAAAATGTAATAAATAAACTATAAAAATCAAAAGTAAAATTTTGTTATCTATTGTCACTAAGCACTGCACTCTAGTGCTGACCTGAAATTCTTTAGAATTCGTGAGCTGCATAACTGAATAAGATTATGCTAATATTTGATTTTTGTTTTAATTCTTAAATTAGTACTTGATAAATTATAGAGTTTATAGTTTTTATTTTAGATTTTTTTTAAAGTTTTCAACTTTTCAAGTTGAATATTTTTTTAAATACGCATTAGAGCATGTCTAATGTTGAAAATTTCTTTGCTATCAAAACAAAAATTTTAAAGTTAAACTTTGATTAATTTTAAAAAATGTGTAAAATTTCGGATTATTTGGGTTGTTTCATAAGTCATTTTTGATTATATTTTTGAAGGCAAAATGGACAAGTTTATTTAAAAACAAAAACAGCTTTCTGCTAAACTGAACATTTGAAGGTTGTAATATATCTCATGATGGTTACGATTCAATTGAGACTTTTTGAAATTATATAGTATATCTCATCTGCCCCCTGTCTTCATAAATAATGCTGGTTCTATGGTACGTAACCATATTTGTTAACCATGGTTACATATTATGATTCTATATAAAGTTTAGTTAAAGCAATTTAATTTTTAATTTTTATTTTTGTTTCAGGTTTTATAATTTATTCATCCTTTCACAGAAGTGCTGATCTTCCATTGGATTTGATTCATTCAGAAAATTGGCTTATTTATCAATACTATAGTACAAAACATCGGCGAACCGAGATGTCTGTGGTGGAGCTCTATGAAGGATTTGAAGAGAAGAACAAGTAACTTTTAAAAAATGTTTAGATTGATGTTACTAAAACCCATTATTATTTGTTAAGCTACTAATTTGATTCGTTTCAACTATTAGTTTGATAGTTATGAATATTTACTATATATTAGCAACCCTCGGAATTAGGGTCGGCATTCAGCAATGCTGACCTAACTGCCGAACTTAAAGTGTTTAAGGTCGGCAAAAAATTGCCGACCTCATTTCAATGTTTTATGGTGAGACCTTTGTATCAAATATTTTTTGCCGACCTTATGCTGTCCTCAAAAAGATTGAGGTCGGCAATAATTTGCCGACCTCATTTTTCCTAATTCCGAAGGTTGATATTAGTATCATATTTATAATTACTAGTTGTATTTTTTTTTTAAAATCTGTTTATAGATTTATATTTATTATTATTCTTTGTTTCCCTTTTTAAAACTCTTTTTTAAAAGAAATTTTATTAAAGTAAATAATTGTGTTGAATATCAACTGTTACTTGTTAATAAATGAATAATACTTTTTTATATTGCAAGAACATTGATAAAGTTTAGTTTTGGTGTGCATAGAGACTCAATTTTTTGAATTTGTAAACTATGTTCTCTCAAGATATGTAATATTTAGTTTATTTGCTTTAACAAACAAATTATATTCACCAACTAAACTATGAAATGTTCATGAATGGAAGTTAGTAAATGAAAGTTATAAACAACAAAAATATTTTAGTTCTGTAGTATTTTGAATCTTTTTTGTTTCTGATGTTTGTAAACAACTTGGTAGAAGTTGTGTTAAATACATTAAAAATATATAAGCAGGTAATAGCAAAATATTAACTATAACATTTTTTATTTATAAACAATCAGAAATTACTGACCTTGATAACATTGTAAAACGGTGTAAAGAAAAGGGTGTAAGGTGGAAGAATGGATTTTAATTCCAAAAAGTGTAAGGTGGTGAGGTTTGGCAATCAGCAATTTTTTATATAAAACTTAATAGAAAATTATATTAGAAAGTTGTGTTGAAAATAAATAATCATAAATATATAATATTGAAAGTTGTATTAGAGAGATTATTATTAAAAAGTTTTTTTTTTATAGTTATTAAAGTTTTTAAAAAGCTTTTAAAACTTAAGATTGTAAAATATGCAGAGTTTTGTACATAAACCGTGCGTGGCTTCATCTTATTTTGTGACTCATCTCAGCCAAATTTAGCCAAAATTTTCTATGCTTGGAATAATTTAATACAATAAATGTAATTGGGTTTAGGGAGGCCACCTTAAGTCTGAACTTTGCAACCTAGCCCTAAATGCCGAAAAAAAAGTTTTTTCCAAGTATGTCATGTTGGATCTCAAAAGCAGCGAAATATATTAAAATTTTAAAAATAATTTTAATTTATGAAAATTTTTTGTATAATACTGTGTAGATAATTTGAATTAATAAAAACTAAAAGTAGAAAAAGTGCTTTTTAACAAGATTTTCTTAATGTATAAAATGTTTTTGAAGTCAGTTGTTTATTGTACTTCATTTTTTACAAATTTGCAATAATCTTTGATTTTGCTTATGTGAATAATATAAAATATAATATAATTTTAATAGATTATAATAAATTTCTCTTTATCTATATTTTTTTAGCACAGCATTCTCATCTCTTGATCCAGGTTCTTCTCCAATGATACTTTCACAAGGCTATTTCTTGCCTGTGTCTGGTGTAAGAACATTGGCAGCAACAATAACGCAACGAGGTATTACAAACAGAAACATTCTCATTGGTTTAGAAAATGGTTTTATACACTCACTGCCGAAAAATTTTTTTGACCCTCGAAGAAATCTAAAACAAAGTGAAATGTTGAATGAAGAAGGTGTTCTGCCATATTCTCCAGAATTACCTGTCTCTCCAAAAGGTTTTATTAATTATAATATGACTGGTAAGTTTTTTTACTAGAATATTAGAAGTTAGAATAAAGTTATTTTGTTTGTACATATTTCAAAATTAGCTGATTATTTTAGTTGAAAAAATTCGTGGCATTCATACTGCTTCTGCTGGACTTGAATCAACATCTCTAGTTTTAGCATATGGTCTAGATTTATATTTTACTCGTGTTATGCCATCTCGAATGTTTGATGTTTTAAAGGAAGATTTTGACTATATTTTTATATCAGGTGTTCTTTCGCTGCTGATTTTTTCATCATTGATATGTGGCAAAATGGCTTTTATTAAATCTTTAAGAATGACATGGCAATGAAGAGTTCTATAAAGATTTCTGATAATATAATTTATATAGGAAAATATACATATGCAAATATATTGTATTTTTTTGGAAGTAAAAAAATGCAGGAAGTTATGTTTGATATATCTATTTAATTTCTAATTTAATGGCTTGTATAATAACTTGTGTATTATATACATTATAAAACTATTTTGCAATTTTTTAATTATATTTTCATTGTAAAAGTTTTCTTTATTTTTAATTTTTTTTTTTAGATTTTAACAAGGAGTATTTATTTAGTTGTTTATATTTAATATTGTATTTCACTACATCTAATTTTTAATTTCAATTGATTTTACCTTTTCTAAATTTTTTCTATTAAACTAGTTATAACTTATAATTGATTTTCTAATTGTCATTTGATTAAAAGAAAACATGAAAAATATGAGAAAATTTATTTTGATATATATATTTTTTATGATATTGTAAAAGAGTTATAGGTAATAATGTAAAGATATAAGTTTAATCAAATAAATGATAATAAAGTAAATGTTTGAATAAATGATGTTTTAATATGTAAGTTTGTTATTTTTCATTTATTCTAGTTTTTATTAAAATATAAAATAAAACATGCAAGAACGACAAATTATTAGTGAGCAGCCAAAGATAAGTGAAGATGAAAAGAAAAAGCTATTAGCTGAATCAGAAACTTCTTTTTATTACCGAAGGCGTATCCAAATTAAAGGTCTTCCTACTAATGTATCAGAAGAGGTTTCGTTTACTTTCTTTACAACTTTTTTTTTTAGTTTTCTATTAGTTTTAGATAATAGGTTTAGCACGTTTTACTTTTTATTTGTTCTTAAACAATATTTTTAGCAAGTTGCAAAGATTCTTCTGACTTCTTTTAACTACAACAATATATACAAAGATGCAAATAATACAGGTTGAATATTTATTTACTTTGGATTTAAATTTCATATATATATATATCAGGCCTTGTTATTCCCAGAACATGCCTTTGTTCTTCCCAAATTCACTTTACTCTTGGTTTGTAGAGTAGGTAGCGACGCTCCTTCGGCAGGGTTGGCAAAAACCCGGGTTTTTTAAAAAAAACTCGGCCCAGTGGGTTTTATTGGGTAAATTTGGGTTTTTTTGGGTTTAATTTTTTTTGTGTTTTTGTTTAATGATATTGAAAATTAGTTTTTTTCTACTTTAACTTTATTTAAAATATATTTTATATATTGTTGTTTAATTATTTATAACAAGAATTTTTCAAATTATTTTGAAAAAGATTTTTAAATATAATTTAAAACTATAATAGAAAAAAAAAATTTCATGCTTAATCTATATGTATTGATTTATTTTAAATTTAAAAGTATTATTCTATATAATTAAAAATGTCAATGAGAAAAAGTGAAAAAGAAGGCTAGAGAATGGGAGGTAGTAACTGAAGTTTCAATTAAACTTTGAACTTGAAATTCGAATGAACAAACTTGTTCCTCTGCACAGCGGCCTTGTTTATAAAGATTCGTGTTTAGGAGTTGAAGAGTTTTTTTTTTTTTTTAAATCAATTCACCTCCTCAAGGCTTAAGGCTACTACAGGCAAGGAGGCTACTTATTTGTGGTTATAACCCTCTCTCAACTCTATAACTCCGAAACACGAACCTTGACGAACAAGGGCGCTGCGCGGAGAAAGGAGTTGAGCGCGGTACTGCCAGGGACGTGGTGGGAATCGAGCTCGGAACCTCTCACTTATGAAGTGAGCGCTCTACCACAACACCAACACCACTACCGCATAAGAGTTGAGAGAGGGTTGTAACCACAACAAGGTAGCCTCCTCGACTGTTGTGTTGGCTTCTCTGGTCACTACTACTCATTTAAATTCAACTTGGGAGGTGAATAACATAAAGTAATAAAAATCTCAATCGATAAAAATATTTGAATAAAAATTGTAATAATGTATTTCCAAATAATGATTCAAATAATAGTAAACCTGCTCTGATAGCTGTTATTGTTGGTTATAATAGTTAATAATAAAAGTTAATAATAATTAAGTTAATAATAATATTTAATAGTTATTTTAGTAAATAATATTATAGTTATAATGTTAAAGTTGGTTATAATAGTTCATAAACTTATTAAATATCTTTAAAAAAACCCAATAAAACCCAGATTTTCCAGGGTTTTATTGGGTTTTTTTAGGCGGGTTTTTTTGGGTTTTATTGGGCGGGTTTTTTAATGCCAACCCTGTCCTTTGGGAGCTGAACTTGCCTTCACAGGTCTTGGTAATGTGGCCTCCGCAAGGCAATTAGCTGGCGGAGGATAAACCACAAAACCAGTTTATATCAAGTGAAAGAAAAGATTTTAAAAAAATTATAAAATTTAAATTTACAAACAATGAATGATTATTGTAAAAAGAGCCATTTAAGTATAAATCAATTGCTGTCAGTATTCTTAAATCCATTGCCAGACTATTATCACCACACAGATAAATCGAAAATGAACTAAATAAGCAATTGCCAGTTGATTCAGATCTGTAAAAAAGGCAATTAATTCTACAATAGGCTCAATGGGAAATAAAAATACAATAAATTCTACAATAGGCTCAATGGAAAATAAAATTGGATTGAATCATTTAATTACAATAAATCAATTAGGTAAAAAGTTAAACCATATAGATAAAGGCAAAAAAATGTATTTCATAATATTATTGCTATATAAATTCACATCCCCAAATGAACGAACGCAGGGATAATATGTTTATAAATTTTAAATGTAACTTTTTATTTTACTTTTTGGAATAAATAAAGTAAAGCTTATTTCACTGCCAAAGTTATTCTTGACTCCTGAAGAATGTCGCGCTCAACAGAAAGATTTCTCTTTATTGACTTATGAACAGTCAACAACTGATAAAGATCTGGCTTATGAAGGAGATTAATCTTTATTGACAGTTCTGAATATAGAGTTTGTAAATTTTCAATAAATCCATTCTCAAACAAACACCTTACAGATTGTAGAGAAATGCACGCCATATCAAAAATTATTTATAAGTTATTTAAAAGATACATAGAGTTATCGTTAGAAAAGGTTTCTTTTTAATTATTAATGGGGAAATATATATTTCTTGACAGACAGTGTTATAAAAATGGTGAAGCAATGCACATGACACAGGGCTATTGTGTGTGGATTTTTTTTTACTTTTTTATATATATATATTTTCCGTTTGTTATAATAACAAAAAGAAATTACTATTGAATAAAAACCAGGCAGAAGCAAGAGAAAGACAAATTATCTTATCACCGACCCCCCGTTGCATTGGTGTTTTGTAAACGTTTTAAATATTTACATGCGCAATAATTAATAAAAATAGTATATACACAAAAAAACTTTCAAAATGAAAAATAGAAGCTTTTGACAACAATATTTCAACAGAATAATTGAGTTAATAAAATGAAACAAAAGATAGATAACCAAGAAGTTATCAATCCACAAAAATTTTATTGTGTTTTTTTTTTTAAATAATGAAATATAACTAAATATTTATTACTAATTATTTAATATCAATGAAAGCACAACAAAGGAAAAACAAAATTAAAATGTTAAAGAAATGTAGTAAAAAAGTTCAAGAAATGTAGTACAGATTTAAAATAATTTTTTGATTCAAACAATTAAGTTGAATTGTTCAAAAAATTTCAAAAATCTCAAAAATATATAACATATTTCATCAGCCTGAGCATTGTTTAGTTTAGTAAAAAAGATGTTAGTCAATGGATCTAACAAGACTAACCCTAAACCCACCCCTGAGATGTTATTAGCAGAACTTGTTTTTAACAAATATACATATCTTATATTTATAGCACTAGTATAAGTTTTGTTTTTAAAATAAAATAGATATAAATTGGATTTTTAAACCATTTACTTATTGATTGTGTTATTTTTAGTTGGTTGTAAAAGTTTGGTTCGGTTTATAAAAAAAACAGTGAAATTCTTCTACACAAACGGTAAAGGGAAAACCTAAACCCCATTTATAACTCTACTTTTTTGTATTGATGTCATTAATTACAAAAGCGCATTAATTAGACCAGTATTTTTATAAATTGTAGAGCCGGAACTTACCTTTGAGATAAAAAAATGATGTTAAAATTTATAAAGTTATTCACTTTAACTGTCAAAAAATAAATAAAAAAATTTGGCTTTGACAAAATCTTTGCATATTACTCGTAAACTAGTTAATCATTTTTAATTGACGTTTAATCTTTTGATCAATTCAAAAAGTTGATAAAGGAAAAAGTTGTGTTAAAAGCAATTTTAAAACTGAAATGTATAATAAAGTTATATGTAATACAAATATTTTAAAGTAGCTCAACTTAAATATATTAAATTTTCTTACTTTAATATAGTTTGAGAATTTGAGCAGTAAAAAAAAATTGAAACTAAAGTAATAATAGTAAACTAAAGTACTGTAAAACTAAAGTAAAGATAAAGTAATAAACTAAATAAATAAACAATGTAAAGCGTTTTAAAATTTTTAAAAGAATTTTATTTAAATTTAATAAAATAAATTTATATTTAATTATATGTAATAACAAATTTTATTTAAATTTAATAAAATAGAATCAAAATATTTATTTAAAAAAAAAACTAAAAATAGAAAAAAAAGTAAATTTACCTGTTTTTTTATCTAATAAAAAAAATACACAAATATTTTTTACAACAATTAATAACAGCTTAATGTTTTCCGCATAAACTGTTCTAAAAGATGTTTAAATAAACTAATTGAAAAATTTTAGCATAACGTAAATTGCGAAGCGCATACATGAAATTGTGAATACGTATATATATATATATATATATATATATATATATATATATATATATATATATATATATATATATATATATATATATATATATATATATATATATATATATATATACATACAGTGGTGTACACTGGATTTTTAGATGTTTGAGTTTTGACACTTACACACACTTTGCAAACTCCAAACTTTTGTATGTTCATACTTATGTCAAATGAGAATGTTTTGCAAAAAGTTGTGGTGATTGGAGCTTGGGGACAAAAAACCCCCAATTTTCGGGCCCACCCAGCCTTTATTGTGGGAGCAACAAGTTGATAAAATAATTTCTTTAGTATTTTTATCTAAGTTTATATTCATCAACGAATTTCTAATTTCATGCAATAACCTCTTAATTTTTAGTTTTTATGACCCTGCAAAGGTTACAGCCCCCTCAAATTGAGGGGGGTTTAAACTTTATATGGTCATAATTTGTGAAAAATAAGATATTATTGGATGAAATTTGAAATTTATTGATGAATATAAACTTAGATAAAAATACTAAAAAAATTATTTTATCAACTTGTTGCTCCCGTGTTAAGGGCTGGGTGGGCCCAAAAATTGGGGGTTTTTCGTCCCCAAGCTCTTATCACCGCAACTTTTTGCAAAACATTCTCATTTGACATAAGCATGAATATACAAAAGTTTGGAGTTTGCACAATACCTGTTAGTGTCAAAACTCAAACATCCAAAACTCCAGTGCACACCACAGATATATATATATATATATATATATATATATATATATATATATATATATATATATATATATATATATATATATTTATTTATTTATTTATTTATTTATATGTTCATTTATATATATATATATATTTATTTATATATATATATATATATTTATTTATATATATATATATTTATATATATATTTATTTATTTATATATAGGTTGTTTTTTCGCAAATATTTTGTATTACAAGAGTGATTAAATAATTACAATTGATTTTGTTTGAGGCAAACAACAGTAACAAGAAAATTTTATACAAAAATACAATGCACTACTAGTTTAGATAACCTTAAATTCACAGATGCGCATTTCCATTTCGTGTGTGTGATTTTTTTTTTCTTTGTTTTTACAATGAGAATCTGGGACTCAATATTATGATCTTAAAGGACATTATAAGAAAAATATTTTTATTATATTTTTGGCTGTCTGCTTTTTTTCCAATTATGACCTTTCTCTTTTAGACAAGGTGCAAAAATTTACTGTAATCACAGTTGGACCTCTTGCAACCAAAAATTTTTATTTATCTAGTTTTTTTTCCTAGAACATCAGTTCTTTGGAATTCACTTCCTTCATCTTGTTTTCCTGATTCATGTAATTTGCAATCTTTTAATTTTTTATAAACTTCATCTATTAACTTTAAATCTAGTGTGCTGTACTGTATTTCCAATATACTAACATTAAGTGACCTTGTTATATTCCTAAACTGTCAATTTGTCTGGAATTACCATCACCATAACCTTCCAGTATCGTTCAACAATTTTTATAATATTTAAACTGTCGATATCCTCTTCGTTCATTTAATAATTTAAACCTACCTGTTCCAAAACGCCATTCTATCAAGTATGTAAATAAGTCCATTAAATACCCAAGTATAAGCGCATGGAACAATCCCCCCCCCCCCCCCCCGATTTAAAATCTCTAAACTCAATATCTGACTTCAAGGTCAGGCTTTTCGATCACTTGTTAATAAAATACAAATAAATATCTCTGCAATCAACTTCCAAACTCCCTCTAATATTTATAAATTAGTAATCCTCTGGCTTTTCATTCTCCTATCCTCAATAACTCTAAATTCTCTATTTATCAAATTCTATCTACCTAGTCTTTTCTTATCCTTAATTCCTTGGTTACTTATTCTGCTTTTCCTTTTATTTATTTATTTTTTTCATTTTGCTTTTTTTATTGTTAGTATATTATCATTGTTATTGACGAGGATTTTCTTGAATCTTTATTTATCGTTATAATCAATTTATTTTCTTTCATTTGTCTTATTTATCTTAACTTCATTGTTAATATTATCACTGAATATTATTCTAAATTATTGATATTCTTATTATATCAATGATTATTATTCTTATCATTATTATTTTGTTTTCAGATGATAGTAATAACTTTTTTATTATTTTTATTTTACTTTCTATTTTACTATCAGTATTACTTATTATTGCTATATATATATATATATATATATATATATATATATATATATATATATATATATATATATATATATATATATATTAGGACATCCCATAATTTTTTTTTAGAAACCAAATTACATGCGGAGTTGCTAATGAGTGGCGTAGAGGTCATATTTATAAGTCAAATTTTTTTATTTTTTATTTTTTCCTGTTAGAAGTATTCGCGCCGGTCGTTCGAAGTTACGCACTAGGCAATTTATGACCAAAATTGAGCAGTTTTCAACACAACGGCGCGAATCGATTTTGATGTCGAATCCAGTTAATTTTTTCATTTATATTCTCTTCATGTGTTCCCATACCAAAAAAAACACTGTGCTTTTCGAGTTAAGAAATACATAATGCCTACCATTCACTGATTTTGATAGAAAAATCAACATTTGTGTTATTTCAAAGTGCCTTTTTGTTGATCTATGAGGTCATTTTCAGTCATGGTGCAATATTTTTTTTTTTTTACTCCTTATTGGTATCAAATGATGTTTTTAAAAAAATTACTTTTGTTGGAACCTAAGATTAAACAAAGCCAAACTTAAAATGGTTACCGCCAAAAGATTTGTTATAGGACTTTAAATATTTTGCTGTAGTTTTAACTAGATCAAAATGTGTTGATATATTTCAGAAAAGATCTACTTAGATTTTGTGTGTGTTATTTTAAATTCTCATTAAATTTTAAGTGCTCATCGCAGAGCACCGCAGGAAAATTTTTTACTAGTAAACGTCGTTTATATGACTAAACCGGCATCAATCCTCGGACCTCCGATATTAAAATAAGAACTCTAAGTACTGCCGTAGCTGCTATTATATTTATTATATACATATAATAAATTCTTTCCTTTAAGACACATATCTCTAAAAATCACATAATTTAGTTTTTTTTTAAATACATTTTCAAGGTTTAGAGTCTCCAGTAAGGTAATTCTAATTATTAGAGATATTGGAAAGGTTTTAAATTAACTCACAGCCAGTAGCGAGGGAGCAGGCGTTGTAACTGACTCCTTGTATCCATTCTTCGTCTTTTTAAATGGCTTTTTCCAAGAGTTTTTCATTTGGAGAAGGTTCTGAAGTTTTTCCTCGCTCTTCGCACGCTCTACATTATCTTGAATGAGTTTTACTGCACGTTCTGATGAGTCGTTAACAACTTCGACAGATTTTACAAAGCTTTGAAACTCATTGTATCCTGGAAATTTTTTCCAAAAAATCTGAGGGAGTTTCATCCATAGACATTTTTCAGAAGTATGACCTAGGATATCAAAAATTAACCAGGAATCTGGCGAAATATATGATTCAAGACCTGGTGGTTGATCTATATTAAACAACAAACTGCTACCTGAAAGGATTTTAGATTTGGTTCTAACCGTTCCTACATTTTTAATGCCACTCCGTTGGGTTGAATAAAGAACTTTTGCCATCTTTTCCATTTCGATGTAGTGATCTTTATTAGAACATGCTAGCGCCAGCACCACGGTTGATGGAGCCAAATACCACATATGGTTTTGCCATGATTTTAATACCACTTCTGCGGCAGGCTCATACGCAGTGTAATGGCACATCTGCCAATAGTTTCGTTGATCCTAAGAGTGTGAGTTAAAAATAATGCAATACAGATAGTAAGTAAGGTTGATAATGACACGTCTAACATCTAATGTAGTAAGTGTCATTTATTTATGTCATTATTCTAAAACAATTTAGTTGGTATTTTTTTGAAACAAATTATTCTTAAATTATGAGACTAATATAAAAATATTTAGGAAATTAAGTTTTACTTCAAAAGCTGCAGAATCAGAAAACTTGCAGGTCAAAAACCACGATGCCCAGAAAAGAGAAATGCAGTCAGCCATTCTGTTGATCTCTTTGACAATTTCATCACTCAGAAAAAGAACCTGTCTGATCTTAGGGAGAAGCAAATTGAACTTCATATAGTACAATGCCTTTGCCATGAACCTGGCGTGTGAAATAGCTCCGGTTTTGTAAATTTTATACCTAACTGTCTGATCTTCTTCAAGGAACATAACTACAAGCTCTGCCAGTTCACAATAATCTTTGCGCTTCTCAAAAGTCTAAATGTATATAATTTACAACTTAATTAAAAACTTTTATGTTTCTTTTTTCTATTTTTGTAGTTGGTATATATATTTGGTATAAAGTTGTTTTAAAGTAATATATTTCTTTATTTTAACCTTACCTGACTATTTCTTAACTTGTTTTTATCTATCAGGTCCTTGCAAGTTTTTAGCGCCAATAGAGCCTGCGTCTCCAGCCAGGTACCCTTAACATTCTGGTGATTAAATTTCAACAGCATCTTCTCGTTGTTTGCATCAATACCATGCCAGTTCTGCTTTAGAGATTTAAATAGTTGATTCTCTGGTCCAACAGATTTGTTTACTGCAACTTCATTGCAAAAGTGTTTTATATGGAGCTCTCCTACATGATGGCGGCAGGCTAACAAAAGCAATGGTCGGCTATGAAAATTAGCTAATCTTGCACAAGCTCCTTTTAAATAGCCAGTGTTTGAAGCAGTGGTATCAAAACAAACTCCATGGATGAACTGCCCTAGATCAAAAGAATCTAATAGATTTTGAATTGCTGTGAACTGAGCCTCACCACTGGCGTGTTCCAACCCTGGAGCGCTTAACAGATGGGTCTGATTGTCATGCCTTATAAGCACACAAATTCGGTCTTTTGTCTCATCTATGCTACCCGTATAATCTTTGATAATTTTGCCATCAAAATGCACAATGATGGGTTTGCCGCTCGTCTTAACCATACTGGTTATGTTTGCTCTAAGAACACCAGCATCATTTCTTATTATTAAATCCTGTGACTTGAGCTGTGGGATAATGTTACATTTTCTATATCTCCACCGGCATTGCAAAGAAAAGAAGAGATAAGTGCTGTTGCCTGGTTAGTAGATATTCCCATCCCAATAGCAGTTCTGGCAGTTTTTGAAAAAATGTCTTTTGGTATCTTTAGAGTCATACTTTTAACTGTCTTCTTCGTTGATGCGTTACCAATCTTAAAATCATCTTCGGAACATGTATCATTAGAGTCATCAGTAATCATTTCACTTTCAGAGGAAAATCCGGAGAAATCATGGAAAGTTTTTTTTACTATACCAGAGGTTTTAGAGTTATTTCTTGATGCAGATCTATTACTAACATCTACAAACCGACCGTCCAACGCTCCAATCACCATCTTTCTGCAACTTAGCTGGTCCCGTATGAAGGTTAAATCTTCAATCTTATCTGCTTCCAGTCTTAGCCTATCAGTCTTTAAACTACGTTCAAGAAGCGTAATGTCTTCTCCAGCCCAAAATAATCCTTTAAATTTAATTTTATTAGGTAAGAACAAGAAAAAGCAAACTATTTACTTCACAATAAATTAGCTTAGTACTGGCTGTTTGACTAGAAAATCTTAACATTTAATATTTATCCCCTACCTGTCATTGATTTCTCAAATTTATTTCTTGTCTCAAGATAACCAATTCCAATTTTTTTCTGGGATTTCTTCAATGCTATGTACTTTTCTACATACTTCTTGACATGAAACATCATCCTTTTGTCACTGATGACTTTGAAGCCAGTTTTTCTCCAAGGAATTAAGATTCCGGAAAGGATACAACTGACATTGCAAAATTCATTGTTTGTTATGCATTTTAATCTATGAAGAAATTCCGTAAATTAAAAACATAACTTATTAAATTATCTTTACTATATTTGACATAAAACATAAAATAACGTCCTTATCTATTGATTTCTAAAGCTAAAAGCTTACTGGAAAGTTTTGGACATTAAATGACAAGCGACGAGATCCTTTAGTGCTTTCTTTGGAGATTGTTCTCTTAAAAATAAGTAGCATTGGGTAACGTGAATCCTTAGGGGCAGCTGGTTTGTTTCCATTCTATCCAGAGTGACGTTAACTAGGAACATGTTCTTACGACTCTATCTTCTTTTTTTAAACCCCTTCTTGGGACAGGGATACACCTCAGATACTTTTGTTGTCATAGCTAGCTTTAAAACAAAATTTCATAATGTTACTCATTGATCATAATGTTAATCACTATAAACATTTTCATAATTTGTATGAAGTTTAAAATTTTTTAAAAGTTCATTTAAAATATTATAAATGTTTAAATAACCTAATTCATTTAACTATAATTGTAAAATATAACATGCATTATTATGTTATGTTGTTATAATAAACTTACTTGAGGTGGAAATAATAGATTTTTTAAAATTAAAAATTGTTAAGTAACGCGATAAAAAAATTGTTTTCTAAACTGCGCTTTTTTTAAATATTACCCGATTTTTGCGTTTCTAAAGTACCACCTAGTAACAAATATGATAATAATAAAAATGCGCACAATCGGTATGGATAAAAAACCTTCCATTCTTTGTAATGACGCAGTTAAATTGTTAAAGGTTTATAAATTTCTATTCGCGCTGATCATTTGAAACTGCCCATAAAAACTCAAAAAATGTTAAAAAGTTAAACTTTAAACGAATGGCGCGAGAATAAATACTCATCCAGAAAAAAAAAAAAAAAAAAATTCATTAACAAACCAATATCTTAGGAACATTTTGAGACACTCCGTGAAATAAAATTCGTTTATGAGGGTCAAAATGGGATGGCCTAATATATATATATATATATATATATATATATATATATATATATATATATATATATATATATATATATATATATATATATATATATATATATTGATTTAATGTTTATTGTTGTTTTAATTGTTTAACAATTTGTATTTACACTATTAATATAATTTTATTATTATTATTATATTTCTAAATGTCTATATTGATATTTTGTATTAGGTATTTGCTTTATATTAGTACTCGTAGTGTTGTAAATATCCTTGAAATGTTAAACAACTTGTTTCAGAATATATTTGATTTGATTTAATTTTCATTGATTATCTTCAAAAAGGAAAAACCATCAATGGCGCATATTATTCAAACCTATTGCAGCATTTGAGTGAAGATTTGATTTGATTTGATTTAATCTATGATACATAGTGTATTTCAAAATGAGAGCAAATTGTAGATTTTATTATTATAAAATAATAGATGAAATACAATTTTCTGTGCAATATTTTTGTGTTTTGAAAAATATATAATAATTGTATCATCTTTAAAACTAAAAAATAAAAAGAAATAAGCTAATATTAAAATGCAGCTACGAAAACAAATTTCTTATCTGTTACTTTAATGTTATCTAAGCTAACACTGCATTGTATTTTTGTATATAATTTTGTTGTTGTTACCTTTGTTTTTAATGCCTAAAGATTCCATAAAGCAAAAAAAAATTAATGCTTTTGCGGTATGATAGTTTGCTCCATCTTGCATTATAGGTTCAGGTTCTTAAAAGATCCTTTCTTCTTGATACCTACAACAACCAATTAAAATGTTTAAAAATATGTTGAACAGAGAAAAATATGAAAGTGGTCAGAAATTAATTGTACACCTTGTGTGTATATTTATATTTTACCCACATTTTTGCGATATTGGGAATATTTATTCTTGTTACACTAAATATTGGGAATTCGTATTGT